CCCGCCAGCACAAGGCATCCTAGAGTCTACATTTCAAGCAGCAAGTAAAATTCTTTCCTGTGCAAGACACTATGACAGGATCAAGAGCTGTATCGCCAGCTTTCTCCCTAGGAAGGGAGAAGCTAAGAGTGATTTGCAGGTAAAGAAATCATACACTGGCAAGGTGAGCTCTGCTACTGCTTCCCTGACAGTTACCACGATGCCAACAGAGGTGGCAGTTAACAGAAAACTGCTCCAACTACATCCTTAGCCAAGGCAGATCTGTGAAGCAAGGCAAAAGCAAAACCCGAAAATATCCAGAGCACTGCAGGAGCCCTGGGGAAGGTGCATGAAAAGCACCAAAAGGAGAATTGCCACTGCCCTTGCTGCTTCCACCTCCCCAAAGCACAGCAGAGGAGCCTGAATGAGGAGGAGGGGACATCACCAACACCAAACCACTCAGCTCAGATGAGGCTGAGTCGAGCTGCATGCAGCCAGCCAGCCTGGGCTTTCTGGTGGAGCAGCAGCACCCTCTGTGGGGTGCACCACGAACAACAAATCCCTGTCCTGCCTGTCTCTAGAGCTGGCTGCACCATCCATCTTCCCTCATCCCCCATGTCCCCCGACCACCGCAGACTCCCCAGGCTGCCTGTAAACAAGGAGGAGCAGAGACAGACACTCCTGCCCACTGCCCTGTGCACAAGAGCAAGTTTCTCATTCGTCAAGGACTAGCAACAATCGGACTCCTAAATGCCCCTCCGGCTCCGGGAAAGTGCATCCCCTCTCAGCGTGGTGTTTATCCACCCTGCTCACCCCAGGCTAGCTTGCAGGGACATGGCGCACGCAGGTTTTGCTGCTTTGCCACACAGCAGGCTGCAGGAACTTGCATCTCACCCCAAATCTGACATGCAGCTCTGCCCAGACCACACCTGGTCCTGGCACAGGAGACTTTCAGTCAGATTTGGTTCCCTTTGCTCTTAAAAAGGGGAAAGGAAACAATCTCCTCCTCCATCCAACAACCAGGTAAAAAGCAGGTTTTACCAAAGACCAGCAAAGTGGTGCAAAGTGCTCATGGAATATCTCCAGGCTTTAATTTCACAAGCTGAAGAACAGAAGTAGGGAGAGGAACATTTCCCAGTCTCCAAGACGCATCTTTTTCTTTGTTTCAGATGCACATTCAGCTGCAACACTAGGGAGGGCTTGGTGGGCATGGTCTAGCACTTTGCAGCATGACAAGAAAGATCCTTCTGGGTTTCCCTGGTGGGCCTACAGGATGAAGGCACAGGAGCATCTGGCCCATGTCGTGAAGGACACAGGACCCGAAAGGCATAGCTGGAGGAGCACAGTGTGACAGTGATATATCCTCAGACAATGCAGACATAGTGGACACAAGCAGAAAGAGGAGGCCAGTGCAATGCCTGCAGGAGAAAATGGGGTGTTGGGGTTACCAGAAAAAGAGGACTTCAGCAGCTATGCCTTGGTTGGCATGAAAGGCTCAGCAGATCCAAGAACACCATGCTGCCCATCCAAGTGCCCACAGGCAGGCATTTTCATTACCCTCACTTTCTTCTCTTGGGAACCACTTAGCTGCCTCAGGGCCACAAAGATAAAATGACCTCCCCTTAGCCCTTCCTATATCTCCCTTCCCCAAGAAACCTACGGCCCCACTGGGGGAACAACTGTACCTCTTGCCCAGTCCTGATCACAGACTCCAGCAGGGCTCCAGTATAGCAGATGGAAGATTCGGGAATGTCCATGTGGCTACATGGAAGACAACAGAGCATCAGAGCTATGACAAGTCAACCCATCCATCCTAACAATGCATGCTGTGCCCACAGGCAAGGGTCAGTCCAAGACCAAGGGATCCCTCCATACAGGAAGGATGGATTCCTTGGTGTGTTCCTCCCATGCCCAAGTTATCCACCCAAAGCTTCACAGGATTCAAAGCTGAAGCTGCCAACATGCAGCCTTTCCTCACAAGGCCCCTCCTTGAATCAGGATTAAGAGGCCCAGGCAACCCCTTTGTTCTGTGCCAGAGGGTCGCGTTTTTTGGCAGAAGGTCTAAACTGCCACAGGGAGGCCTCCCAATGCTGTAGGGAGACTCAACCTTGTCAATCACTACAGAGTCTCAGAGGATTTCATGAAACATCTTGCAAGGTCCAGATGGCTTCTCTTCCAGCTCTGCCAACGAGTGTCCCAGCATGCCATCTGCAAGCAAGGGCAGGACTCTGCTGCCTCCGTGCCCTTAGCACTGCCATCAGCAGAAGCTACAGCACCATGTGCTTGCCCGCCCCACCTTCTCTTAGGAAGCAGCTCACAGCATCAGGACCACAACTGAAACGACTTCCAGATTTCACAAAGCCAAAATGACCCACAACGTCCCCCAAAGCACAAAGCTGACAACAGGGTTACCAGGGACGTGGCACAAGCCAAGAGAGTGGCAGTGACCCCACACGGCTGCATGTCTCCCAGCCTCAGCTGCTGCTCGGTATGACTTACAGCTTAAGCAGGTGCCTGATGATCTGCTCAGGAATGAGGCGTTTCTGGCAAACGGTGTCGGCCTCCCACACCACCGCCTCGCAGATGCTGCCATCCTGGAACCGCCGCAGCTCTGATTTCTCCCCCCAGAAGGTCCGAAAGTCCAGGGCCTGCAGGGCGACATTGGCCAAGCCAGGCCAGGGACACAGGTCACCACTGGAGCCAGACAAATCACTCCCATGACCACCAGACACCCCTTCAGCCATCTGCAACCACAGCACAACACTAGCTCTGCTCCACCCCACTCGGCACAAGCACGGTTCCCCTCACCTCAGGGTGATCGGCCTGTGGTCCCTTCTCCAGAGTGCTGGCAGCAAACTCCGGGACAAACAGAAGCCCAAACATCAAGGGCCCAACATCCTTGTGCTTCGGGGGCTCAGCATCAATCTGCCACTGCAGGAAAACAGGAAACATGAAGCACAAGGAGAAGTGAGGTTGCTGGAGCAGCAGCTGCCAGGATATCAGGCTGCTAGATGAACCTCCTGCTACATGCTCTTGGGTGCCCAGACAAGCACAGACAGGGAAAGCCTCATTTAATAGGTCTCCCTGATGGGAAAACCGGTTGCATTCACCCTGCCCCATTGCTGGGCCAGGAATTCTGCCCAAACCAAGCCTCCCAGCTGCACCCCACACCCAGTGCAGGGCCTCAGGTCCTGTATTCCCCACAAAGGAGACAGGCCTATCTCCTCCCCCAGCGAGCAAAGATCCCCTCCCTGTGCCCAGCAGTGCCATGAGGGACACACAAGACCCCACGTCCTGCGAAGGATGCAATGTCATTGCAGAGTTGCATTACCTCAGGGATCTGGGGCAAGGAGTGAGTCACAAGCAGCGCTCTCCCAGCCAGCCCACGGGCCAGCAGCGAGACAATGAAGGGAAGGGCCGCAGCCACGTAGTTCCCACCCCGATCCATCAGCTCATTCAGCAGCTGCATCTTCTTGCAGGCACCCTGCAGCTTGGAGACATGCTTCAGGCTACAGGAGAAGAAGAGAAGCTGGTCATCCACCCCTGCCACCAAATCCTTTCTGAGAGAGAGGTAGGCTAGAGGATGGATAAAGTGGAGAGCTGAGGGTCCTGGCCCAGGATGGGGGCTACAAGAAGAAACACTGCACTTTGGCATCTCAGGATGCACCACAGGAGATGTTGGCCCTTGGGACAGCCATCATTCCCAAAGGCCAAAGCATTGCCCTCCTCCTCCCGCGAGGGTATCTAGACAGTAAAAGCAGAATGGCCAAATGCAAGAGGCACCAGTGTCTATCTCAGAGCTTGTGGGGCCACCTCCCACCAGGCAGGTCCACATCCACCCCACTCCAAAGCCGGAAGCGCCCCACTCCTCTCTCAACAGGCTCCTCAGCATTACGCCACCAGCACAGCGAGACTCACTGGAAGACATGGTCAAAGGCTCTGAGCATGGGCTTCGTGGTCATGAGCAGCACCTGAAAGCCATCCACCATCCGATCATCCAAAATTTCCATGGAGCGCTTGGCTTCAAACTGGACCTGAGCAAGGAGACAAGGCAGAGCAAGACCATGAGAGGGAGCGGAGAAAGAAAGCAAATCCCTCCAGCAGTGGTCACCAATGCTCCCCCATCAACCATGGCCGCCCCTGCTCCATGGTCCCCAGCAGACCCTGATCTCAGACAGCCTCTGTTCTCAGTGTGAAGCCAAGTCATTGACAGCTGTCACTGTTGGCCAGACAGTCCTTCCTTGATATCCCTTCCATCAGGGCATTTTTTTTTCTGCTCCAAAACAGTTATTTCTGCTAAACAGCTGCTTGGCTTCACCCAAAGGTGCCCACAAAGAGGAAAACAACTTTCCTCCATCATTCAAGCAAGACAGGTAAGCCAGCACTATGTCCAAGTCTTAAAAGTCACTTCCAAGATTCAGAGCTGGAGATGGATGCTAAAAGCTTAAAAAGCAACACTGAACCCCCTCCACACATCCAACATCCTCCTCCAAGACATCTAACTACCCTCTGTCTGCCTCAGCTTGCTCCAAAGGCAGCATCTCAGGATGCCATCACAACCTGCCCGGTACCTGGTGGTATTTGCTGGCAGTCATATCAGCACAGAGGTTCACCAGCCCGGAGGGATCCACAAAGACCACTTCAAATGCCTGGTGGAAGTCATCCAGGACAGGCTGGAAGAACAAACACAGTCCTTAGTGCCATGGCGCAGCACGGACACCAAGACACCACCACCTCTTTGCTGTCTGATGTCCCTTCAACAGGCACACCCCTGCCCGGGCAGCGCTGGCAGCACAGCCAGACACAGGCACGGGCCTCCCCACAGAGGGCTGCTTACCAGGGAGGCATCCACATCCCTCGCTAGGCTGATCCCCGTCACGCTCAGGTCAGTGGTGGCTGTGGGCAGACAAGAAGGCATGAGTCACACCACCATCCACATCTCCCCCACTGGTGAGGGTGGTACAGCTACATGCCAACACCACTGCCATCTCGCAAGACAAACCGTGCTACAATGCAATGCTGGCTTCCACCACTACCCACCCCTCTGCAAGCTGCTTCATCCAGCCCTGCTCTGCTGCCTCAGTCCCATCTGTCCACCTGCCACAATTCCCCCTTCTCCACACCATGTTCAGGCTTTGTACAGAGACTCTGTTAACACCAGCCTTTCCCTGGAAACTCACCTAGGAACTGCAGCGTGCTCCTCAGCACCTGGTACCCACTCATCATCTTGACGATCTTGCGTTTCATCAGCAGGTAGGCAACCAGCATGGAGACTAAGAAGCCACTGAAGCACCCCAAGCCCTTTGAAAACAGAGGGCTGAGTTCAACAAGAGCTCAACAAGGCACCATGAGCCCCAGAGCCCACCCCACATGACTGCTTCTGGCCTCTGTCATCACCAGCAGGGCAGCCCCCCAAGCCCCAGCCCTGCCAGAAAGACATTGAGGCAAAGCCCTGTACAACAAGCAGAGATATGGATCCCCTTGCAGGAAGGCAACATCTCAAAGTTCTTTGGGAAATGGGATTAATTCCCCAAAAAAAACAAACCCAAAAACCCACTACATCATTCCAGGGATCTCGAAGAAGCACAATTGTCCGGTACACACAGACTGACTGCAACCCACACGGTAGGATGGAGCTCCCTAACACAGCTCAAATCAGAGTCACAGCCCACCACACCACCCACCAGAACCAAACCACCACCTTTCCAGCCCTAGGAAGGGAGAGCAGGCTAAAGGCAGCTCCGCCAGGCAAGCAGAGCCTGTGCTGTCCCCTGGCACAGGACATACCTTGCTGAGCTGCCGCTGGTTCAGCCAAACTTTGAGAAGGGCCAGGCCATCCTTCATGCCCGGGAAGTCGGCGGCTGCACTAGACAAGAAGTGCAGGTGGGACAGCAGCACTGTGTCGCAGAGGATGGAGTTGTTGTAATGCGGGGTCGGTGGTTCGGTGGCTCCTGTGTGGGGGACAACAGCACATTGGACCCAACCACAAACCTCCTGTTCACAGAAAACAGATGCAGTGAACCCACCTCTGGGCACTACGTGCAGCCTCTGGCTGAACCAAGCAGGCTCGTGTTCCCCTAGCCCCAGGCCCTACCTTCTTTGGGTGTGCTTTGCTCCATGAACCAGGCTGTCCGGACATTGTTCTTGCTGGGATAGAAGCGGCTGGGCTTGAAGAGACCCGGGACAGGACAGGCATGGAGTCGGACAGTGACCATCTTCTCATCCTTGCCTGTAAGCACCGGGGTCAGATGTGCAGGAGGAAGAGATGTCAGAGACCCAGAGACTAACTTGAGAAAGCAGGGAACATCCCCAGCTTGGGGAAAGGAAAAAGCTCCTTCCCAGCAAAGCTCAGCAGCAGTGGACATCATCTCAGAGCCAAGAGTGACCACATCCCAGAGCCAACAATAACCCTGATGTCACATTGCTCATGTCCAAGTCCTATCTTCATCCCCACTGGCCAGTCCGGTACCCCAGCACTCTCCTGCCTTACCTGGCCTTCCCAGGCTTGGAAGGCAACAGGATGGTGGGGAGCAGTGCTGGGAAGAGCAGGCAGAAAGGACTAGAAGGCAGGAAGGACAGCGCTAGACACAGACATGTTTTTGTAGGGTCTGCTTTACTCCCTGAACTACCTACAGGGTGGGCCAGCCAGCAAGGCCAAGGCTGGGGAGCCCAGCCAAGCTGCAGAGTGGGATTGGAAGAGGAAGAGACCTTGAGGACAAGGCTCTGTGTGGAGGGAGAGGACAACTGGGAGCATCGAAGCTCCAAAAATTTATCACCAATTGTGACGACAGCCCCAGACTGACCGCTCTCCAAAGGGCCTGTTAGATGGTATGAGACCACCACCACCACCCTCCACCTAATGCCAGTATCCACTCTAAGCCCGCACCAGAGCAAGGCTCAAGTGCTACCTTGAGGCCTCAGGAGCAGGATGGGCTTGAGATGGTTGCTGTTCACGTAGGCAAACTTCACGCTGCCGAAGAGCTTCTCCTTGGAGAAGTGCTGGGCAATGTGGGCCAGGTACAGAGCTCTCTTCCGGTGGTAGCGCTGGTTCAGGTTATCTTTGTCCTGGAAGATTTCCTGGGAAGAGAGGGACAGAGCAATCCCAGCTTACCCACCTCACCCGCCTGCAGAGCCTGTTTCAGCCTGAGGCACTACACCTCCTACCGCTCCCCCTGGCCTCGTAGGCAGCCATGCAGCTACGGCCCCAAGGAGCTCCAAGTCTGTCAGGAGCAAGGGGAGGTAGCTGTAGGGGGATAACAGCCTGCAAATATCACCCTCCCTGTAACACAGACTTGGGAGCTGGGGCAGAAGCGCAATGGGGTACAAAGCTGAACACCATCTGTCTCCCAGGCAATGTGGAAGAGGTTCAGCCCAGGCAGTGAGAAGGAAGATCCTCATGAGGAACAAAAATCAAAGCAGCTGAAAGCTCTGATTGAGTGAGCAGTGAGACTGTGCTCCCCAGCTCCTCGTGGGAGTCAGCACACTGCACATCCAGATGCCGCAACCTCACTCAGGAATGGAGAGGACAGGGAAAGGGCCGTGGGGGACGGGGGGGGACGGAGCTCAGCCAGGCCCCAGGCCACCTGGGAGCAGGGGAATGGCCAGGCTCACCCGCGGCATGGTCACCGCCACGTCCACGTTGATCTCCGGCTTAATGCAGGTGCCCAGCAGGTAGCTGCCCACCACCTTCAGCTCGGTCGGGGGCAGGAAGCGGAACCTCCCCTTCACGCTGAACGGCACCTGCAGGAACGGGACCTTCACGCCCTTGGGGAGCCAGGCCTGGTCGGTGAGCTGGGAACAGACAGGACATGCAAAACGCTCTAAGCATCACCAACAGCAGATGTGCAGAGACCAGGACCCCACTCCCAACACAACTGCAGGCACCTGCACCCAGAGCTTAAAGATGGAGCGGCCCCCTATCCTCTCCAACATAAAGTAACGTGATATTCTTTCAGTCCCTAAGGGACATGCTCCACAGGAACCTCTGCGTGTACAGCCACAGCAGAGCCTGCTCCACACAGGGGCCTTGCCGCCTCCTCCATCCCTCTGGGACTTACTTCAGTTTCTGGGGTCTCTGGGATGGCACTCAGCAAGCTGTTAATTTCATGGAGGAAGGCATCAATCTTCTTCTTCTTTGTCTCCTTCAATGTTACCTCCTTCAGAAGCTCTTCGATCTGTATGGGGAATGGGGACCACAAAAAGCAGCTGCAACACTGGAATTGCTCCTGCCCTTTACCTTGTCCTCCAGCACCAACTACAAGCCTGGTGAAGAGGGCAGCAGGTGAGCTGGGGAACAACACCCAAGCCTCTCCACAAACCCTGCCCAGAGCTGGGAGTCCAGACAGCCCACGGGGCAGAAGGATAACGCAGCTCCTGCCATCTCCTGGGAAGTGCTGGATGGAAATCAACTCCCTCTCATCAGCTTCTGCATAAGGTCCAGACACAAAAAAACTGGCGTGATTCATGTAGGCTTTGCTCTTAGAAACATTTTTTGTATGACAGAGTATCAGGTCCAGGAAATAATTTTGCAGGCCCTAGAGATCCTGCCACCAAAACCAGCAGATCTTCAAGAGATCAAAGCTGCTCCTCACAAAATCACCAGCGTTACAGCCAGAAGGAGCCATCTGGTCACCAGCCTCACCTCCCCCTAACACAGACAGTTTGTTCCCAGGGCAAAAACCAACCCTCCTGCCCCATACAGAAGCTGGTCAAAGGCAGGAGCCCGGTGCACCTGGTGATGTCACTTCCTCGCCCCGACAAGCAACAAATCACGGCAGTGACGGATGCAATGCTTCTGCTTCCACCATCCTACAGTTAGTGCTGGAAGGGTTCAATTTTAATGGTGCAAAAGAGGCAGAGAGCCTGGTGTGGGATGGTAATAAGAATTACGGTGGGAATACGTGCCTTGTGAAGCCTGTGCCTTCTGTCCCTGCCCAGCTCCTGCAGAGGAGGAGGCACTGCCCGGATTTACCGGCTCAAGAGGGCTCAGGGGCCTGCCAGCGGCCCGGGGTCCCTTCCCCAGGCCGTTCCCGGAAAGCTCCGGGTCCGGGATCCCGCTGCTCCCCGGCCTCCCCCACCCCCAGAGGCTGACCTGCAGGCGGGGCCGGCTAAAGGGGGAGGGGGGCCACCGCTCCCTC